GCCTCTTTCTCTCAGCTATCCTAGAATGTCCATTTCCAATGTTCTCTGCCTCCCTGAGACCTTCCTCATTTCCTCAGCTGGAAGTGATTCTCTATCCTCTGACCCTCATACCTTTCTCAGAGCTATTATTTATCACATTCTCTCTTATGCTGAAGTTATTATTACAAATTATCTCCCTAGTAGATGACAGGCCACCCTACAATGCCAAGCACACAAGGCTGTATTCAGTAAATGTTTCTTAAATTTGCAGAAAAAGCACTCACTGAAACATCAGTTCACCAAAATCTAAAACCCTTCTCTGGAAGGGTGACAATTCAGCCTTGTTTGTTCTGGTTAAATATTACTGTTTGCCTGGTATGGGATTAACCACCTCTAAGACAAACCAGAGCCTTGGCTCCATGGGCACTCCCATTTCCCAGTGAAATGTCTCCTATGTACAAGAGTCACTCCCCAAACCAAGGAGATGTTGGACTTGGTTTTTCCCTCACCTTATGGAAGATAACAAGGGAAGCATCCTCATTCAGATCATCTGACAGGCTAGGGTAGCTGAAAATGCCCAGGATCGTGCTCCTAGTGAGAGTCAGAGGACAAGACAAACACTCCAGGCTCCAACTTCTCCCTGGGACATCTTCTCTGCAGAGAGGCCAAGCACACCAATTCCCCTATCTGGTATCATGCACCCCCTAAAACTCAAGGCACCAGCAGCACCAGGCCATTCATCAGACTCTAGACCTACCCTGGGCAGACTGAGACACCAGGATAAAGGTGTAGGGAATGTCAAGTGACACTGTTCACATGGCCAAGTCCTATGACTTCCTTCCCCTTCCACACTGGAGACATGTTTGAAATCTTTGGGGAATAGTCACACTACAGAGATTATCTTTAAACTGCAAAGAAGCAATGTGAGCAAGTGAAATTATGTTATTTGGCAGCAGGCTGGGGCTGAAAGCTTTCCTTTGTTCAGTAGAACTTCCACTTATTCCACTCTCCCTCTCTCGGAGCTTTCGGGATTGGTTTGGCAGAAATTTCCAGTTAGAAAAGGGGCCCCAGAATTAACCTGGTAGGTATCATTTTTCTTGAACCCTAAATGAAAGCAAAGTTTATCACCATAGCAGGGGGTCCCTGACCCTTTCTGCATCGTGGACTTTTTTTAGCAGTCTGGCAAAGTCTACAAACTGCTCCTCAGAATGCTCTGTGTGTTTTGATTTTTTTGTTGTTGTTTTTAATTAAAAATAGAAGGAAAGTTTAAATTTAACTTGGAGGGAGTGAAAAATTAAGATGCTATTTTGTTCTCATGTAAGCTCTCAGAACTCCTAAAAACTCGCCACAGACCCCCAAGTTTAGAAGCTCTGCTCTATACAAAAGTCAGTTTCAGCACAAGTCAAATGGCTCCTTACCTGGGGAGCAAGTCACACCCTGCTGCACCCCCCCCCCCCCCCCCCCCCCCAGTCTGAGTCAACTTGAAGTTTAATGATAATCTACCAGTAGTAGGAGTCCCAGGAACAGTGTTAGGCCAAGCCATCTCCTCCTTAGAAAGTGCAGAGCCAACAAACTGTAATTAAAGGAGTGATCAGTGTGTGCCAATGAAGTGAAACTCATGGAGATTGTGAAGGTTATCACCTTACTTGCAATTTTCCCTTTTGTCCAAAGAATGCAATAGTCTTCTGAACACATCCTGGAACGAAAATTATGCTAATTGCTCCTCTCCCTGAATATTTCCAATCATCAGAATTATTCCTATGTTCAAGTAAAGGAGTCAGAAAAGTACACCCCCACCAATAAGAAGGTAGGGTGTGGAAGAGGCAGCAGAGAACGGGAGTAAGGAAGTGAGAGGCTCTTCATTTCTCTGGTGGATTCTATTTCCATTCCACAAGATAAAGGTCAAAGAAGATTTTGGCTCGTGAGAGTTTATAATCCCTATTTTCTCTTTAGGTCCTTCCTTGAACTATATGTCACCACCCTGAGTAAATGAACATGTGCTCACACCCAAGCCTCCTGGGCCCTACACCCCACCAGTTATCCTATGTAGGCAGAAAGGGAGCAGACTTTCCACCCAGCCAGAGAATGGGCCTAAAGGAGACTAGCTCTGAGCAGGGCCAGAACTTTGGTGTCTGGTATGCAGAGCTTCCTCTCAAACTCCACCTGGGGCCCTAGCACAGGTTTGCAAGGAGCAGCGTTTCAACCAGATCTCTCTCTTCTATGGACACAAGGTCACCAGTCAGATGCTGCTGTTTATGGGACCCCAGCTGCTTCCTGTTCTGCCCATATCCTGGTGGTGCCGGCTCTGCCCCTTAACACTTCCGTGACAACAGAGAGATATCAGATTTCGCTTGAATGCAGAAAAGGCCTCCAGAGTGGTTAGCATAATTTCTGGGGATGGAGATTACACACATCAGTTGGAGATACTGGAATGGTGCTCCCCCCAAAACACTGCTAAGAAAAAGGGGCAGGCTTCAGGCTCCTCATCTTGCCCCACCCAGGGCTGGAAACAAACCTTCGGCATCTTTGGACAGCTGGCTGTCCCTGCAGGTGAACATGCAGGAATCACTTGTTTCTAGACCCAACAGGCCAAAAAGTTTAGCAAGTAAAGTTTTGTCCTGCTCACCCTAGTTCCCCACATTTTCAGTAAAACCTAACTCAACCTATACTCTTCAATTACAGCCTGATAAATTACGTTAAGAGGAGATACTAGGTGGAACATACCTTTGAATCAGTCATCTCCTTGTACCAACCAGTCATAGGCATTTATTGGCCCTCAGTTAGGAGACAAATTTCCTACAGAGGGATTTGTCAGAAAACAACCTTATGCTGCAAGGTAATGAATGTTTTGTATTCTTAGCATTTCTCAGTATTTATTGGCAAAGATACTAGAATGATTTGCTACATGGTTAGTGAGTGTCTGAGGCCAAATCTGAATTGGAGTCTTCCTGATTTCAGACCAGGCACTCTATTCACTGTACCACCTAGCTGCCCTATCCCTTTTCATAAACAAGAAAATATTGTTTACTTGTCATTGAATACTCAGAAAGGTTTGGAAAAAGGATATCTCTCATGGTCATGTAACGGTTTAAAAAAAAAAAGAGAGAGAGACCAGTATAGATTTGAATGCCCTCCCACTGGCTAGGTCTCCCATGGTCTGAAGTAGCAAGGATTTTCATTCTCACACTAGCGTATAACTGTATCACATAATTAAAGTCTTCTTTCACTTTGATATTCTTGGAGACTGAAAAGGGGGAAGGAAGTAGAAAGGGCGTGCTAAGTTGCAGCAAGGACTCAGGACATCAGCAACAGTTCTATCCCTTCCCCTGTGCCCCCTCTAAACTGGCAGGCCCCTCCATGTCCACTTTAAGGAGGAAAGTCCTGTGAACCAACACAATGAGTTCTACTAAGTCTGAAGGAAATTTAAGACAAGAGAACACTCAGCCCAAGCCATGTGGACAGGATACGTCCTTAGTTACTGGTCCCCAAAAGAAGCTTTCCCAAACCAGGTTCCAGCCCACAAAGAACTTGGAAACACTTTCCCCCTTCTGTAAAGCAAGTACACCTCACTTCAGAATCCCAAAGCCACAAAGTTAGGGCTGAAAGGAGCTTCAAAATCATCTCCTCCACTGGTGAGGAAACTGAAGTCCAGAAGAATGGGGGGTGGGGCAGGGTAACCTGCTTCAGGGCACACAGCTATTAAATGACAGGACTGGACCAGGACAGAGGTCCTTGAATCCAAGAATCCCTAAGACGTCCCTGACAAGACCTCATACAGACTCTGGTGGAAGACTTCCAACAGGCCAGGCTTCCTCTTCTCCCCTTTTCTCTCTAATTCCGCCTGGATGCAGTAAACACAACCATAACTCCTCCCCACCTCTCAGCTTCATTGGTACAAAAGTCAGCAGAGATACTACAAATCTATGAATTCATTTATAAGTTGGAAACCTTGGATTTTATATCTGTGTGGGTGTGTATTCCCAAGATTTCTGCCTTTCCTCCTTTCCTTCAATGCCCAACATTTCTTCCTGACCTGATCAGATAATAAGGCAACCTACTAAAGCACTATATAAATGCTAATGATCATAAACAGATTAAGACTGGGAGGTGGAGGTCTCCCTGGTGTTAGATCTGTGTTTCCCCAGTCTGGGGGGGGGGGGGAGTTCTCTGAAGACAGAAGTCATGCTTCTATTCCTCCTCACAGTGTCCAAGGAGGAAGGGGAGAGGTAGGGGGTCAGTCCAAGGGGTTTACTTCAAGGCCCTGATTGGTGGTTACCTTCCTCCTTTCATTTTATATTCCTCTCCCCTCAAACCCCTTTTGACCTTTCCCTTTCCCCTTTCCTTCCTCCCCCAACATTCACTTTCCCTATCCACTCCCCCTCAGGTCCTTCTTCCTCTTTTAACCACTTTCCCTATCCCTCCCCCTTGCAACCACAGTCACCTGCCCCCTCCCCTTATCACCACCTTACCCTTTCTCTAACTTCCGTCTACTTTCCCTACTCCCTTCAATAATTACTTTCCCTGCCCCTCTCCAAGCCGACCCTTCAGAAGCATTTCCCCAGCTCCCATCCCCCTCAGACCCTTACACAAACAAGTCCTTTTCTTGCCGCCTCCTCCTAGGACCTCTTCATCCTCCCCCTTCCAACTACTTTCCCTGCCCCTCCCTCTTATTTACAACTAATTTCCCTGTCCCCTCCCCCTTATTTACAACTACTTTCCATGCTCCTCCTTATTTACAACCACTTTCCTCGCCCCTCCCCATTATTTGCAATCACTTTCGCTGCCCCCTCCCCCAAACACCTTTGTAACCACTCTCCCCCCTTCCCCAACCCCGCCCCTCCGCCGCCGTTCCACCTGTTGCTGGTCCCGCCCCTTCCGGCCCTGATTGGCCAGACCTCGGGCTCCCGGCTCGTTTATTGGGTGCGGGGCCCGTCCCTCGGGCGCCACGTCTCCCGGAGGTGGAGAGGCCCGGACCGCGGACCCCAGCAGAGTCTACCCGGGACGGCAGAAGCGCCTCATACCTGGAAAGGGTTCACGTCCACCGGGTCCGCGAAGGGGTTGGTGTCGAAGGCAGACATGATGGGCGGGGAGGGAAGGGGGGGGTGGCAGGAGCCCACAAGCTCAGCAGGCACTACGACGCTTCTGGCACCCGAACTCCGTCGCTCTCTCTTCGGAGACCCGCCACTTCCGGGAGGAAGTCGTGTCTGCGCAGGCGCAGCGGCGAAGAGGGCGGGCTTTGTGGCATCACAGCGCTTGGCTCCGCCCTCCCGCCCTCGCAGGTGTTCCGCGCTTGCGCAGTGCCTCCTTGTTATATCTTCCTTCCTCCCCCCTTCCCCGCTCCCCCAACTCCCACTTGTGGCTTCTGCTCCGGAGCTCACATCTGGACAAGGGAGCCCAGGAGTAAGAGACACGTAGGGCCTTGACCTGTTCATAGTCGTGTGACCCTGAGCCTCAATTTCTTCACCTGTAAAATAGGGACGAGCATATGTTTCACAGGGATCTAGTGAAGTGTTGAACGTTTCTTTATTCCCTTGTTTTTAACCCTCTTTTCAAAGTGGGATAGAGATCATCCCTTTCTTATAGGTGGTCAGTGGATAAAGCGCTGCAACTGCATTCAGGAAGCCCCGAGTTCAAATCCAGCCCTAGACACTTGCTAGCAGTGTGACCCTAGCAAGTCACTTTTCTTTTCCCTTGGTTTCTTCAGCTATAAAAAAGAGGGATAAGCACAGCCCCTTCCTCTCAGGGTTGTTGTATCAAAAGAGCTTTGCAAACCTTAAAACTCGATGGCACTGACAGCTATTATTATTATATTATTAGGAGCAGGTCCATCAAAGCTTTTTAAATGATGCAGAAGGAGAAGGGGGTGGTATGTGCTATGAAGGGATACTGTCTGCTCCCTTTCCTTCCTGGGGAAGTCTCTAACCAAACCGCAGTTCCTCCTGTGGCTTTGGTGTGACTTGACTTAATAGTGGAAGTTGCAGAAGAAGCATAGGGATTATGCCGGGTGTGGGGAGAAGGGGGGAAAAAAAACCAAACCAAGGTGGGAAAGGGAAGCCTGGGTGTTTGTTTTGTTTTGTTTTAGTTGTGAAGAGCAACTTTAATATTCCCTGGGGTTTGTGTGGTATGTTTCTCATGGTTTGAATCACTTACATCTCAATTTAATTTGCTCATGGCAGCCTCCTCACTGAGGTTGGTAGCAACACAGGTACCACCTGCACTTGGCAGGTGAGGAAACTGAGGCCCAGAGAAGGGAAGGAATTTACCCAGGGTCTCCACAAATTGTTGGCAGAGCTAGGAACAAGTCAGGCCAAGTCAAGTCAACAAGCGTTTATTAAAATACCCAGTATGTGTCAGGAATGAAACTGGGGATACAAAGAAAAGCCGCCCTCCTCCCAAAAAGGACAGAAAGTCCCATCCTAAGGGAGCTTACAACCTAATGGGGGAGACACCATGGAAATAACTACGTAAAACAAGACACACAGGAAAAACTGGAGATAAATCAACAGAGGAAGGGCAGTAGTATTGGGGGGGGGGGGGGTATCAAGAAAGGCTTCTAGCCCAAGGCAGGATTTTAGCTGAGACTTGGAGGGAGCCAGAAAACAGAGATAAGGAGAGAGAGAATTCCAGGTATATGGGACAGCCAGTGAAAATGCTAAGCAGGACATGGGGCATTGAGTGTCTTCTATGAGGAACTGAAAGGAGGTTGGTATCACTGAATCCCAGAGTACATGGGGAGGAGTAAAGTATAATAATACTGGAAAGGTATTAGGGACCAGGACATGAAAGGCTTTGAAGGCCAAACAGAGGATTTTCTTTTTGATCCTGAAGGTAATAGGGAGCCAGTGGAATTTATTGGCAGGGCTGGGGATGTGACGTGGTCAGACCTGCACTTCAGGAAGGGTCGGTTTGACAGCTGAGTGGAAGGTGAACTGGAGTGAGGAAAGACTTGAGGCACCCCACCCCCACCCCCCAGCAGGCTCTGCAACGGTCCAGGTGTGAGGGGATAAGGGCCTGAGCCAAGGTAATAGCAGTGTCAGAGGAGAGAAGGGGGCATAGGTGAGAGATGCTAACAACGGGGAAGACTGAACTGGATTGACAACAGATTGCCTAATTGGGGGGGAGGGTGAGAGAGTGAGGAGCTGAGGGCAACACCTAGGTTGTAGGCCTGGATTTCCAGGAGAATGATGGTGCCCTGGACAATAAAAGGACAGCTGAGAAGAGGGGAAGGTTTGAGGAAGGATAATGAGTTCAGTTCTCCTAATCCATGGGTGGGGAACCTCTGGTCTCAAGGCCACATGCGGCCCTCTAGGTCCTCAAGTGTGGTCCTTTGACTGGATTCTGGATTTTGTCAAAGGGTGGCACTTGAGGACCTAGAGGGTCACTTGTGGCCTCGAGGCGGCAGGTTCCCCAGTCCTGTCCTAGTCTGTGCCAATTCTACTGGAAAGGGTTCCTATCCATGAAGTGCAGGTAGAGGGTTGATGGGAGGGAGGAGGGAGGAAGAGGATAGGGAACTGAGGTGAGGGATCCAGAGCTCAGCAAAAGCCAACTCCAGGGCAAACGGAATAGTACAATCTTGTCTCCTGTGTGTGCCTTGTTTCTTCAGCTAGACTGTGCCTTTGGGAGGCAAGGATCACATAGTATTTCTTGTACATCTCCATGGTCCCCACCACAATACTAGACACACAGCAGGTATGCACCATGGGATTAGCAGCAGAAATTCCACCTTGGAGCAACTCCACGGTTCTGCCAGTCAGTTAGATAGACACGGCAAGGCCAAGGGGAAAAGCAGTGCATTTGGGAATCCAAAGACTTACGTGCCAATCCAAGCTGTGGACCTGTATTTGAATACTTCCTTTTAAAAAGTTTCTCTACAAGGACAATTTTAGCCTCAGTCTAAGATGGAATCCTCCTGGCTCAGTTTCCCCATTATATTCCTTTGAAAAGGAATGTTACCCACCTGACTATTCCTGGGTCTGGCTATGAAGTGGATTTGATACTGCATGGTTGGAAAACTGAATTATTTGAATCCAAACAGAGCTAAAGATGTTTTATCCTCTCATATTTGGGCCCTAAATCTAGTCCCTGCTTTATATCTGAGCCCTGCAGTCTTTGGGACCCACCCGAGGCAGGGCCAGCTCTATACCCCTTGCCAGCAGGAAGCAGTTTCAGAAGCCGAGACCTTCGCCCCTTACACCAAAAGAATTTGGGTCCCATTTGTTTGAGGGGGGAATGATGAGGATGGGATCTAGACCCCAAAAAGGAAAAACCCAGGACTTTCCCACATGGCCAAATCTCTGGCATTCCCCTGAGGCTATAATCCCACCAACTGGCCTTTCACTGTGGCCCTCCCTATGGCCCCAGGCCACTTCCCACCCTTAATCCTATCTAGGCTCCATTCTCCCTAGGCCTTATGGTCTAGGTCCCTGGAATTCTATTACCTCATAGACTACTTGGCCACTCCTAGATCCCCCTCATAGCCTTAATATATATATATATAAGGTCCATCTTATCTCCATAAACGTGCTAGCCACTGCTCAGATTCTTATAATCTAGCCACTGCTCAGATTCTTATAATCTAGCCAATAGCTTACTAATGTTCAGACTCCTTAAGAGTCTGCCCAGTATGACGGATGTTCTAATAAACCTTGTCTTTGGCTGAAAAAGAAAAGTTTCTCTACAGGTACTAAGAAAATAACATTTTTCTCTAAAAAGCCCTTTTGCAAATTCTTCAGAAAACCCCTTGGTAAAGTGGATTGTTAGATCAAGACCAAAAGGGAAAAAAAAGGCATTTCATCAGGGATACCCCATGGGAAGTGCCCTCTTCCACCCAACAGGTGGTATGCTCACTGCCCCCATTCTACTTAGACTTGTTCAGTTGTTTTCAGTCCTGTCTGACTCTCTGTGACCCCCATTTGGGGTTTTCTTGGCAAAGACACCGGTGTGGTTTGTCATTTACTTCTCTATTTTACAGATGAGCAAACTGAGGCAAACAGGGTGAAGTAATTTGCCCAGGGTCCCACAGCTAAGTAAGTGTCTGAGGCTAGATTTGAACTCAGGTCCTCCTGATTCCAGGCCCCTTGATCTATCCACTGCACCAACCAGCTGCCCTAACTTAGACTTACGGTATAGATTTGGGCAAGGGATCCCATTGGTTCCTTAAGGAGGAGGGTGGTCCAGAAGTGGACTAGAGATAGGGTTGCTCAATTATTCTGAATGTCAGCTCAGAACTATGTTTTTACATATTTTGATTCTCTTTCTTCAACACCTATAAATGTTAGCTGAAAGGAGTAGAGAGTCACGTTTCTCTAGGAAGGCAAGACGGACTGTGCCAATGTCAGCATCTCTCTTTGAATTTACATTAATGTTAAACCAAATAAAGTTGTTTCTGGCAGGTTTGAACCTAAAACAATGTGAGAGGCAGCTCTTGAACTTCATGGTTCTCATGGTGCTAAAGCCGGCTCTGTATAACAGCCACCCTGCTGCTTCTCAGTAATGGGAAGGAAAACAATGGGGCATGAGGCTGGAAAGGCCCATTTCGAAGGGCTTTAAATGCTAGGCAGGGGCGATTTTAAGTTCCCTTTTCTGCAATAGGATGTGTCCCATGAAAAGTCCAGGGCCCCTGCAGCTGACTCTTCTCTTCTGTCTTATGAAACTACCAAAGGATCTTATATCAGCTATCTTGCATCTGAGGCTGAGTTCAGTAACTGCTGATCCAGCAAATTCAGGGCCTTGCTAGTAGTAGGGTCTAAGGAGGTACAAGTGACAGCCTGTAGCTAAGAGTATGGCAAGACATCCAGTCCTCACTCATTTGCCATTCTCTGGTACTGACTTACAGCTTGTCCATTATAAACAAGCCAGCCCTAAATATTTATTCATGAGAATTGGGGTAGAAGAGTAGAACGGAGCATAAGGGCCCCCTATGGGGAGAGAGGATGGGGGTGCCCATTCAGTAGGTGAGCCCGGAATCCAAGGGCAGTCAGAATGGGGGCACATGGAGGAGTGGTGAGCAGGACATAGATAGAGGACAGGGGTCTGGAAGGGGGATAGATGGTCACTGGCTGAGGGTTACAGGATGGAAGGGTGTAGAGGCTCAGAATTCTGTGAGTGTTAAACTGGACTAATATAGGGGATTGATATCTCCAGGCTACTTGTGTAAGAGGAAACAGAGGAAGGGGTGGGGGGGGTCATGTTTTC